TGACAACCTACTCTATGGTTGCTCGAAAATTCATTTGCTACTTGAATATGAAATAAGGAAAGTGACACAGTAAACGCATATTGTTAGAGAGCACATAGTGCAATTCGTGAAAAAGCTTGCAATTGTAGCCAAGCTGTGCTAAAGTTTCTTTAGCATACTGAGACAATCACTCTATTAAAGTGTTTGTATATGTCTATAGTAGTCCTGTGATGATGAAAAAAAAACACGCCACCGACCCATGCAGTGACGTGTGAAATAAGGACATACTAAATTCCCTGAATTTCTTCATCACAGTATCGTGAGACCTTTTAAAGCTGCGAAAATTACAAAGCAAAATAAATCTCTACCAATGACAAATATAATATATTGCTCACTGGAGTTGTAGTAGACATAATGGCAAAGGCAGGACAGCTGAACGAAGTTAGTGCCGTGGTGTTGAGTCTATGCGGTCTCTCAAGATATCCTTCTAAAAGCGGATATAGGTTAAAAGAATTATGTTCAATGTCTATGATGTACTAATTAAGTAGTTCCAACTTTGGTCAAATAGACGCACAAATAATTCAGCTCGGCTGAGCATGGGAGGAGAAATTATGCAGCGTCTTTGAGTCTAATATACCCCTGTGCTCAGAAACGAAAGTATTTCAGCAATGCGAGTAGTCATCAAAAATATATGGAGACCAGTCATGATTTTTTGCTCTCAGTCTCGTCAATATGCTCAGAATTATATTAATATGCTAAGCACAAGAAGTAAATAAGCTCGCCGTCACCACACCGTATCGTCGCCCCACTTACTTTAGCTCTCACAAAGCACACCTTGCTATACTGCTTACTCGAGAAGTTGTCGTATACGACAATAACATATTCGACATTATTTCTTAGTAGCGCACATAATTTGCCCTCTTTCGTAGTAATCCCTTCATATTAATCTTAAGTTAAAACTCGCACACTAGATACACCCAGTTTCTGTGCAAATATTGCATCGAGATTTTTCTGGTAAAATTCGTAGAGAAATCACGAGGCATCTTCAGATTGAATATGATTCAGCACTAAAAAACAAAAGCCTTAGAACAGTGAGTGTTTCCAGTAATGATATACGAATGCCAAACTGGTCTCTTAAACGAAATCAGTCGCACTCCAAGTGCGAAAGAAGTAGCTATCTCAGAGCTTTCCGCTAGCCAAAATCCGAAACGAGGGAACCAGAAAAGAGCTGGAGTGACCGACATAGTTTAGCTGACTAGATACGCATGTGCGATGGACGTGCTGTACATTGTCATGTTTTATATTTTAATGTTTTAGTTATAAAAATAATGCACAACACTTCATATACTAATATTGCATAAATTATATAATACTTGTACGGAAACACGACCTCACGTATTCGTTCCCTGAATTCAATTTTCGCTTTTAAAATAATGATTTTTAAACGTAATATTTACCGTGTGAAGCGCACGCAAGCAAGAAGTACGTGATGATTAAGGGTGCATTTTAAATGTGTGCAATGTCGATAATGCGATTTAAACCGTATCGAGCCGCATGTCTCCTCAGTGAGCACTGATTTGCACCAGAATGAAGGCTATGGTCATCTGTCTAGTACTACCGGTCCTAAACTCTCTATGTTTAGATCGAAGGTACCTTAAAGCCAAGGGCCACGATTTCCTGTTTCGGAACTAGAACCTCTAAAGGCCAGCCACACCATAGTGTTACACTCAGCGGTAAAAAATGTACATTGTGTGCATAAATATCTTGTATATAGAGTTGCTAGGGTATATTCGTGAAGTGCTACTAAACAGTATAAGTACAAAGTGCCGTTATAGCGCGTCTCTCCATGACACCCCGCGTTAGCTTACAAATGCCAGGCCATATCGTTTGTAACCGATAACCGCCGGGGAAGAATGGTTCTTGAGTGACTACCGCGAACTATAATAGTCTAAGATTTGGCATTAGAAAAACGTACCCTAATCTGCTAATTGAATTAAATAATGTTTTACAGATAAATAACAATATTATAAATTTATGAGAACAATATCTGTCACCATAGTCCTACTGCTACTAAAGTTAATTAATTAATGGTTAATTTTTTGATTCTTATGTTAATTGTACATCGCAAGTATACAACTTTCGCATACGATGTTTTACACCTTGTTAGAATAGGCAGCGACTTTATGACTGTCACAGCTACCTGAAGCCAGGTGTAAACAGGTAAATAAACCGAACTTATTTCCCTCACCGGTAAATTAAAAATGATTAACACGTGTGAAAAGTTTACGAAATTCTAAATATATTTATAACTGGCAGTTACCGTGAAATTATTTGTATCCTACGTAAAAAAAATAAGTGATGAATGTTAATAGCAGTAGGACTACAGTGGCAGACATTGTTCTCAAAAATTTATTATATTGTTATCTGTCTTTAAAACGTTATTTGATTCAACTAACGGATGAGGGCACATTTTGCTAATGCCGGATCTTAGACTATTGGACGTTGCAGCGTAGGACGGTCTTCCACTAGATGGATCGAAGACTTGGTGAATGTCGTAGGCCACAGTTTGTAATGACCCAAAACATACGTCCTGGATATCTAAAGCGGAAGACTTATCCAGCGGTAGACTTCCAATGGCGAAAACGACGACGGTAAACGATTGTAAAGGCTTTAATTGCTCAGATAACCCCGAAACTGACCATCGTTCTATATGTCGAAACCTAAAACTCCGCTATTACGCCTGATGTTAAGGGGTACGCTTCCGAATCGTAAAACATGTCGATGCGATTTTTCAGCGCAGAAAAGAAAGGAGGGTTGAACTGTTCTAGAATATATGATCCACTTCAGTACGTGTTTTAGTGTAAATCAAATTTCAGACATAAGTTTGTCATGGCATCGTTTGATTTGCTAGTGGCAATATTAAAAAAAAAACCATACAGAAATAGTCACGTTGATAACGTTTTCCCGGTTTTGTTACGGAACAATAAACCATAATAATCAAGCACATATTGAAAATATACTAGTACATAAGCAATCATTTACAAGGTGAATTCAGGAAACTCAGGCACAGGGAACAAAATGGATCGTTTTTAATCAAGTCAGTTTAAAAATGTAAATAAACATCGATGGACGTAAACGCAATTACGAGTACAGAATAAAGCAATATAATAATTTTACAGCGAAGCTCGTGCAGATCTTCAAACGGGCGAGGCGAGAACGGCAAAGAGGCCGTATTTGCGCGACATAATTAAGGTCCGTTTTGATCTTTCATTACGAAAAGCGAAAATCTTAATTTCTCCCAGATTGGTGGCTTGTTTATTAAATACGTCAACTTTTTTTTTGATGTGTTTTAATGTAATTTATATCCTTTTTATATTTTAAGTAAACACAAATGCATTTCGTCACCGACTGTCACAAAACTGTTATATATAAACACACACATGCAAACGCGCGTGCACGCACACACACATACACTGTTGGTCAAGCCGCTTTTTTATTTTGTAAGGAAAAAATGTACAATCAATTCGGACTCCGAATTTTCCAATAACAGGTTTCTGTGGTAACAGTGTAATAGCTTTCGGATTTAAACTTTCGTCAGATTCTCAAAACTCATAAATTTTCAGATTTTGCCTGACACAAAATTTGGCACAACAAAAGAAACAGTAACGCAAGCTGCTTTACTGTATAACTAAGAAATGCTGAAACGATTTCTGTACAACGTTGGAGCCTTGGAGACTTCTAGTATCTATTTCACCATCAGCTCCATTTCATAACGTGCATTTTATGAGCATAAGTTGCTTAACGTGAGGTTTACGTAGTCAAGGAAATGACTACGTAAACCTCAACGAAATTCGCGAAATACTTATCATTGAAGAGTATCAGTGCTGATACGTAATATTTATTATCAGTTCCAGTTTATCAAGTTAGGTTTTACGAGTACAAATGCGGCGGTTACTATAAAAATTGCTGTATGTGTGTCTATTCTATTTGAAGAGTCGCGTTGATCACTCATCTTTGCTGATTTCGGATCTCAGTTTCGACATAAATGGAACCAATCTAGAAGTACAAGAGTTCTAATATAAAAAAATATTATTGGTTAATAAATTAATATTAACCTATATAATACATATAAGTAGGTTCCGCTGCTGATACTTCTTTCGAACCCGGTTCCAATGTCAATTCCAATCTTTTCTTATTCCAGGTTCTAGTAACTATTAAAGTTCCAATTTAAACGAAGCCGGGGCAAATTGTAATATGAAAATAACATTTGTACTGTATTACTTGGGGATAGTGTTGTATGAGTAAAAGATTTTTCAAAATCTGTTTTAACACAAATATGCAGATGCGGCCAAAGCGAAATGTTAGTGTATTTTACTCAAGGAGTTTTTTACTAATGATGTAGTTCTTAACAGGTTTGATAGTAAAAATGCACAGATATCATCAGATACGTATGCTTTGCAATTAATTTACAAAAGGCTTTAGGTCGTCAAAATTAAAAAAGGTTGCGTGTACTTATATACGCGCGTGAGAAGTTATACTTCTTTGACATTATTAAAAAATAGCTTTTAATTGCATGCAAATAATTAATAAATAACTAATTATATTAATTAATTTATTAATAAATTTAGAAATTAAATTTTAGTTTATTATTATTTTTTTAATATTCATTATTTTCTTAATTTAATATTCACTTTTAATTTTTATCAATATTATTTGTTCAATTTATTAATAAATATTACAAATTAATATTTTAATTTGATGTTCGATTTTAATTTTTATCACAAATTTTTTATTAAATGTTTTATTAAATTTAGTTCTTTATTTTGTAAATATTAAATAACCAATAATAAATATTTAATATTAATAATTAAATAATATTAAGTATTAATTATATTAAATAATAATATTGTAATTTATATCAATAATAATACGTACGGATAGTTAACCTCAATTATATTAGAGCACTTAAAGAAGTATATAAGCACTATTTTTTTCACTAATATTTATGAATAATAAAAACTTGGCCCATGAGGGATCAAACCCGCGACCTTCGCGTTTTTACCACGACACTCTAACTAACTGAGCAAATGGGCCATTGAGACATCGTACGAAAAACCTTTATATATATATATATATATATATCGAAAACCTGTTAATTTTGTGTTACACTCATGCGCGCGTTACTTAAAATTTGACTGTCATCGTTTTTTTTCATAATGCGCCTAAAGAAGTATAGCTTAAAAAAATGAACCTCTAAATATTTTTCAGGTTGAATGGCTTTATACAAAAACAAATTCATGAAAGTGACAGATTTGATGTATTCTAAGAAAATTGTCATTTTAGTGCGGGCGGGAGGACGTGCGGCGGAACCCTTTCGCGAGCGCTACCTTAAAAACATTTTTATCCAATCTACGGGACCCGAAACGTGAATTAAGAATCTATCAGCATCACTGTCACGAAGTTGTCAAAGCCGAAAAATCGTTGATGAATTCTGTGACAAATTTATTGAAAAGATTGAAACTAATAATCATAAATTAAATCAAAAATGAAACTTTGATACTAAGAACTTAAAAATTTGATTGACTTATATGAATGAAATTTATTTGTATCCTTTCAGTACAGTACTTTTGTCTGTCTATGGCAGATATCCGAGTAGTGTATAACAAACGCTAATATTAATAGCAGATTGAATTTTCTCGTTTTAAAATATGGGCAAGAAATGATTCTTTGACTAATGAATGATGTTTTTTGAAAGAGTGTATTTTGCTTTTCGAATATGTTTTAAAATAAAAAAAGAGTGCAGTTGAAACAAAAATTATATAGTTTTAGTTTGTACAATTTTGGTACATTACGCTGTAAAATCCCAAGCTGGTTCTATGACGTAATAATCAATGACTTTTAACCGATTTCGTGAGAAAATTGTTTAATTTACTGCGTCACTAAGTATATTGTGCAAATATCAAATAGTTCTCAGCGTACAGTCGCGCAATATCAAGTCGGTGTCATATCTTATGTTTGTCTTCGGTCATATAAAAAATATGTAGAATTTCATTAGTGTTAGGCATTGTTAGCGCATTCCCCGGAGATGCATCTACCCTTACTGTGTCAGGGCAAACGAAATTATATTCTCATTGCGAAATATGCCGTAAAGCGGAATAAAAAGCTCGGCTATGGGTACAAATTGCCCCGTTTGCCGGCACGTGGCTCAGCGCGTTACGTCCCAAATGAGCAGAAATGCGCTACACGCGTGGCCGTGAGCCGAGAATGATATTTTTCCCATTACACTTTTTTTTCCGTGCCGACTTCAGCCTGAATACATATATAAGTCGGTGTTTTTGTATGATAAATTAATCCTACCGTCCGTCCGGGTGTCCTTCTACCTGAACATAGGATGAGCTGTGTGTGATGTTCTCCAGTATCGCTGTTTGATTCACGATTACAACTACGATATCGTTTCTGAACAAGAAATGTTTTCGAATCTTTATTTATAATTCTCTTTGGACACGATCTCATTTGTACATTCAATGATTTTACAATGTTCGCTCTTGAGTATTAAGGCGGACTTTTCTTTCTACTCGATGCCACGTTGTTAATGAAAGTCTTACATATATTTTAGCTAAAACTTTAAATACTGTAAGTCGTGTTACAATAAAAAAAAAGAGAACGGTAAGAAACTGTTTTACTTTTAAAATAATAAATTTAAAAGTAGGCTGAATTCCATATATTACAAAGACTGTAGCGTTAGGTAATGTTAATAATTAAGTTAATGCTTAATTATTAACAACGATAAGATGATCCTATCATTAGTGGCGGTGTGAGTTAAACTCAATAATAATATGTGTAATTAATAAACCATAAAGAGCGGAAAAAGGATCTACCATCTATTTAAATTATTGCACAAGTTCAACATTGTCACCATAACATTCTCATTGGCCTACGATGCAACAAAGATTAACCTATGAGTTATTAAAGAGTTTTATATACGTGCGACCTTGGTAGAGCCTCTGTTGCAGCTTCGTTGCTTGAGCTAGGACGGTCGGTGAGATAGCACACTCTCAGAGAATACAGATGTTCTGTATCTACCTCCGCTGTTACCTTTCGTCCAGTGAGTGAGAGTGCCGATGGCACACTCCCCCTCCATCACCGCACTACTTCCTTCATGAACGCTCTACTCCTTCATCGCCCTACTTCCCCACCAGTAGATATCCTATCTCTGGCCATGAGACCGGCGCCGTACTTATGACTCTTGTCTCTTGTGGGGTTGCAAGTATTTATGTGCAGCGGTGACCATTTAGTCTGGTGGATCGCAAGCTCGTTGGGCCCTAGAGACTTCTACGTAAAAAAAAAACTCTTTAAGGAGCAGTATGAAATTGCAGCAACGAAATTATTTTGTTCCCACCTAGATCGGATGGCGGCAAATTTTAAGTTCACAAGAAAGTGTAGTGAGGATATGAAATTTACTTCAAAATTTTAGCTGAACAACATGGGCACGCATCGTAATAGCAGGTCGATTACAAGAAAGAGAAAACAGCTAGTTTCCCAATCATTCTAGCTCTTTCAGGCGGCTAACTTTATTGATAGTGACGTTGATGGACGAAGGCGTCGCTGTACAAAGTCGAGTTCATCGATCTTATTTTCTTCTTCCCAATGCATCATATCAATTACGGGACTCTATGCTACGAATAAATAGGTTTTGTGTCTATGCTTTCTACGAAATAAACATTCAACAAATTATTTGCTTATCTTAGACTAGTTTTTACCCGAGGGTTTGCTCACGTGGACATAGAAGTAATATTTGACCTTTGTGCGTGCGTGCGTGCATGCATGCATGCGTGCGTGCGTGGGCATGTGTGTTTTGTGTGTGTGTGTTTGCGTGTGTGTATGTCAGTAATAACAGTTACAGTACTTTCTGCGATTCAAATTTTGTCTGTTTGTTTATTTATCCAACCTACTTTTAAAAACGACTGCAATGATTTTTGTGAAACTTTTATTAATAGATAGAGAACTTTTTAGGTATTTATCTAGAGTAATTTTATATTTAGGATTTTTGGGTAAAAACTGTAAAAACACGAATTGGATTCAAAATTTTAATAACAAGCCAGTTATCTGTTTCTACTTCAATGACATTTTAAAAATTTACTGTTTTTACGTTTCTATCAAATTATAATATTATGTAAGTAGCAGGTTTATCTCTTCAAGCGTAATTATATTGGAGTGTTATTGCCTGTCTACCTGTGGCTTTGCTGATTTTCAATTAATCAAATTGGATCTAAGTTGTCCTGAAATATCGTTTCCAATTTCTCAATCATAATGTTGCTGTTGCAGTGGTAATATCTATGTACGCTACGAGGAACCAGGATAATATTATTTTAAATTTTATACACGAAAGTCAATTTTATGGCAATACAATGTTAGAACAAATTCATGTAAGACTTTGAAAGTAAACACTTTGTTACAGCGATTTTTTTTTGGTTTTTAATTTAGGAAAGTGAAAAAATTAAAACAAGGATCAAAATTGTAACTTTCACGAAGGGCTAATCACCGATTTTATTATTCTCCTTTGAAATTATGAACAGAACTGTTAATGTAACTGATACCGGTTTCAGGATCCCAATTGAAATTTATATTAGAATTAAGAACGAGACTGCGATAGGAATAGATAGAGAAACGGGAATTGAAATCGATATAGTAGCCGTGTTCGGGATTATGAGTAAGAGACAGATCGCATACGTAAAAGATTAAGGAATTCATTCTATATACATGTAGACGGAATCGCAAGCAAAAGCAAGTTATAAATAAATGAGATAAAGCTCCCGACTATCAGACTTCCGCCTATCAGATTTCCGTCTATCAGATTTCCGTCTATCTATTTATTAGAAGTAAATAGATAGGCGGAAGGATATGTCACGGCACACCGCCTATCAGCTGAATATAAATTACAATTTTCGGGACGGCACGAGTTGGGTGAAGCGTTACCACAGGCTTCACGCCTAAAAGGTAGTGTTGTACCTCGAAATCATGGAATGGATTGTGTGAATCATTTAATCGATTGTCGATAATCGTATTACAAAGTTCGTGATTTCGATGGGTTAATGGATTTCAATTATCAGTTCGAGTCGCCTCGTTGTTCAGTTTGGATGGTAATACAAAAGTTAATGGAGAAGTTCTCAGAAAGAGCTCAGCATCTTTAGTACGGTATGTAATCAAAAGCTACAATAATTATATATTTTTTGACTGCCTGATAGGTGTAGGTGATAGTGATCCTACTCGGTGTGCTAAAGGTGTGAGTTCCATTCCCGTATAAGACAAACATTTATTAATTAAAAAATTAATATTTGTCTTGAGTTTAGGTGTTTGTATGTATTCTATGTATATATTAACAAAAAAAAGTATACATGTATTACATTAACTATCTGGTACCAGTAATACAAACCTCGCTGCTTAGTTTGGGACCGGATAGTACTGTGTATATATGTCCGAATATATTATTATTATCTTCTCCACTTCTTCAGCTTGATTTTTACTATTAAATGCCTTTTAAGGAATTTTCGTGTTACAGATTATATCAGCTCCAAAAGTCTTTTAAACTAAATTTTAAAGGTTTTCTTCTGAATTTAGTTATCGTTTTGCATAACTTCATTCATATTGGTGGAGAGAGAATTAGTTTGTTTATTTATGAATTAGTTTTTAAGAAGGTATTATAAATGTTTGTCTTAGTATATTATATGTTATAGGGATGGACATGGAATGATTTTTTTCCTTTTGAAAACAAGTTCGAATCATGTTTTTGCTGCTTTTATGGCTTAATATTTCAACAGATTTCTATGAAACTACATACATACAGTGCGCACTGAAACTTTCTGGTATGAATGAGAAAAAATTTCTTAAAAATGAATTTATTGTTTCTCAAAATATTATTGTTTCTCCAATAGCATAAGTGCACTTTTTCATACGAATACACCAATTTTGTAAAAAAATTGCCACACTCCTCCTAGTGACCTCGCAAACATGTTTTTCATACTCTTTGGCAGCCTCTTCTGGTGATGTGAATCGTTGACCGCGTAATTGGTGTTTAATTTTTGTGAAAAAAAGTC